CAGTGGGTTTAGAAATAGTGTCTTAAACTAACTCCTTAACTTGCTTCCTTGAACTTTACACTGCACAACAAATGCTGCCATTTGCTTCTAGGCCCCTCCCGGAAAGGGCATTATTCTTCCCAGCGAACGTACTCAGGTTTGATATACTTACAGGATGGGGGGAAAAAAGCGCCAGTCTAGACTTTTCTGAAAAAGAAAATAAAGCCTTTTCCGAAAGATCCCTTATCCCTTATTTTAAGAGGGATAAGGGATCTTTCGGAAAAGGCTTTATTTTAAGAGGGATAAGGGATCTTTCGGAAAAGGCTTTATTTTCCAAAAGATCTGCGTCTAGACTGGCGCTTTTTTCTGGCAAAGCTTTCCATGTCTAGACTGGAGCTTTTTTCCGGCAAAGCTCTGAGCCGAAAAAAAGCGGCAGCCATTTTTATGCTAATGAAGTGGGGGAGATTTAAATCCCCGCTTCATTAGCAATTGAGATACGTCTAATTTGCATCCCTTTTTCATAAAAGGGATGCAATCTAGACGTAGCCAGGGAGTTCTGGCGGCCAGTTTTCAGAAGCGCACATGGAACTGTGTGTGTTGCTAATGAGTCGTGCGCCCCCCCCCCCCCGCTGCATGCACACACACCTGAGCAGGGTAGTTGTGCAGTGCACCTGAGGAAAGCAGGCACTCGTGCCTGTGAAACTCTGGTCCCCACAAGCAATCGTTGGCTCAAGGAAAAGGAGACTTTGAAATGCGGATTTCCCTGCACGTCTCCACTGGGCCTGGGGGGAGTCAGAGCCTGCAGGAGGGTCTGTTTGGGAACGTGCATGTGGTATGTGGGCAGGCATGTTTGGGTGTCTTCATCACAGCACGGCTAGCTGACAAAGCCTGGTCCGTCTGCTTATGGATGATCATTTGGTGGCTTTGCTGCTACCGAGGTCTTCTCCCTCCTCCACGTTTGTTTGTCTCATCCATTGTTTTGCACCTTAGAACAACCCCGGTCCTGATCCTGCACCGCTTTATGCCTGTGCTGAACTTTACGCCTGGTGGGTTACAGTCGAGGGAATGACCCCCTGTTTAATGACAGGTACGTGTCTAAATCTTTGCAGGATGGGAGCTCGCCCTAGGATGCTCTCTTTACTGCAATCTCTGTACAGAGCCTAGCACAGGCCTGGGTAGTAATTGGCCTATGGGCTGGATGCAGGACACCTGGGTTAGCTCCTGGCAGGCTGCTGGACCTGTGAGGGTATGTCTACACTGCCACCCTAATTTGAACTAGGGTGGCTAATGTCAGCATTCGAACTTGCGAATGAAGCCCGGGATTTAAATACTACCTGCCCTCATTGCAGGAGGAGTAACGGTAGTTCGAATTAGGAGCTTTAATTCGAACTACCTAGTCTGTGCCACGTGTAGCCACGAGCAGGTAGTTCGAACTACAGGGCATTTAAAAATGGCGGCGCCCAGGAACACGCAAATAAAGCCCAGGATATTTAAATCCAGGGCTTCATTTGCAAGTTTGAATGACGACATTACCCACCCTAGTTCGAACTAAGGTGGCAGTGTAGTCATGCCCTTATGTACCTGCAGAGTCCTGGTCTGCGCTGCTTCCCGCAGCTCCCATTGGCTGGCAATGGCGATCCCCAGCCAATGGGAGCTGCAAGTGGCCATGCCTGCAGATGTGCCAGTAAATAATGCATCTGGCGGCCTGCCAAGGACTAACCCCGGCGAGGTGCACCTGGCTGCTTGTTACCCACCCCAGCTCAGCACAGTGGGACACTGATCTGCTAGCGCAATACAAATGTAATAAACAACAGTAACAATCCTCCGCACCAAAACCCCTTCCAAATATAACCTCCCCCATGGAAGCTCAAATTCAGATCTAGTTCGCAATCTGGCCATCGTTTCTCATGCTCATCACTATGCATTGTAGGGGGGTTGCTTTAGGGGTATTTGCATGAACGTGTGCATTGCAGTACTGCAGTGACAGGGAGCTAGCCTTGTTAGAAATGTGAGGTTTCTGGGTGGGGCAGACCAGATCAAATCTTATTTTCCCACAAGCTTGCCTGCATGCAGAGCAGAGAATTTTAAATTGTCCAGGTAAGATCACATCTGCCAATATGTAACATGTCCCAGAGCTCTGACACTGCCACCAAGAAAAATCAAGTTGTGCTGAACTAGTTAGTACACTCAGCGTATTAGTAAAAGGACACAGACAGAGGCATGCAAGTGGCTTGTGCTGGAAGGAGACATGATTTCCTTTTTCACTAGAAGAGAACTTCAGTGCTGTCTTTATAACCAAAATACTCCCTTCAGTGCAGTCAAATCTGTACAACATAACCCCACCTCTTCCAATAGGCAACCCACACCCCAACTTCCTGATCCCAGTCTTAAGCAGCTACTATACAAGTAGCGACAAGGAGTCCTGTAGCACCTTATAGACCAGTGTTTCCCAATTGGTGCTCCGTGGAACCCCAGGTTTCCGCACAGTGAAAGTAAGGGTTCCGCGAGAATGCGGCATTGCCCCGCCCCCTCTTAAAGACACAGAGTATTTTGCAGGGTTTTTTTGCTCGACCAATTCTGGCGGGACTTTTTTTTTTTGCTTGCCAAATTTTATTCTGGGAACCCTGGGGGTTCCTTGAAATTATTTTAAGCTGAAAAGGGTTCCATGGCCAAATAAAATCAGGAAGCACTGTTATAGACTAACAGATATATTGGAGCATAAGCTTTCGTGGGCAAAGACCCACTTCGGCAGATGCATGTGAAGTGGGTCTTAGCCCACGAAAGCTTATGCTCCAATACATCTGTTAGTCTATAAGGTGCTACAGGACTCCTTGTCGCTTTTGCAGATCCAGACTAACACAGCGACCCCTCTCATATAAAAGTAGCCTTATGGTTTCCAGCATAATCTCACCTGACCCTTAATTAAATTCCCACCTCTCTTAGGAAACTGCATTTCTTTGCACCCTGGGGTGGTCTTTAAGAGAAATTGTTTTACATTCCCATTGCTTTGAGCCCAGAATGACTCCAGATCAGTAGCTGGTCTCACCCCCAGTAAAATCTGAAGCAGATAAAGATGTCCCGGGGCCTTCCCTAGAATACTTAAGCCTTTGAACTGTTTGGCCTTTTTTTGGCGGGATAATGGCAAAAAGTTTGCAGGTTTTGTACAGACTTGTTCTCTACAGCTCATTTCAATGTATCCTCTCTGTCCTGGCAATGGGGCCGGACAGCTCACAGAACGGCTCCTTCATGCCATGGGTTGCTGCTTTATTTGCACCAGGATACAAACGCCCTGAGAACAGAGCCTCTCGTGGCATTTCTGCTGATGGCAAACCCAGTGAGCTCAGAGCCATGCTAATTAAACAAAAAGTTTTCCATGTTGTTTGAAATGTCAGGGCTTCGCTTCCAAGTTTGGAAGAAGGCCGGCATCTGCTTTTTCTGTGCCTGCACTGGCCTGTCTTTTGGGAATAATGGGGAATTTTTATCTGAAAGGTGCAACTTGTTAGGCTGAAAGCACTATATGCAAAACAAGGGCATTGTCTAAATTTTCTTAAGATGATGCAATTCTCCAAGCAAGTCTAGAAAATAAAATTTGGAATCAGATTTTATGCCATTATTAATTTATTATTGTTGTTATTATTGATAATAATAATAATAATCCTGTTCTATTTTATTACAGTTTCAATGGGCGAGATGTTCAGCTGGTGCAAATTTGTCATTAATCCAGTGAAACCAATGAAGCTTTGTCCAACATACACCAGCTGAGGGTTCTAGCCCAAAGTTTGTAACTATCGTATCATCATATTTCTGTCTAGGTTTCTATAGTCAGAGAGAGAAACCTGCATTCACTCCACAGTATTCTAATGGTATAAGAAATAAATTATATAAAACCTAAGATAACAATTCCCTCCCAACTCCTATTTCTCCAGGACTGCAACATGACAGCAAACAGATGTGGTTCCCAAGTTAGTCCGAATTCCGATTCAGTGTGGACAGAACACAGACCTGGCTGAAGGAACCCAGCTCGGTAAAATGTTCTGTCATATACCTACCTGGTTTTTAGCCTGCCTGTACAGAGTCTGTTTTATTGTCTCAGAGTCTAAGGTGGAATTAAACACATCTTTAACGTCAAATGCTTCCTCGGCTGCTTTGCGAAGATCCAGCCCCTTCCCAAAATTCGGCATCTGCTCCAAATCTAACAAGCCGGCTTCGTCCTCCTCAATACACCTGTACCAATGACCAGGGGAAGGGGTTGACCTGTTGTTAGCTCGTCTCACCGTTTACAATCTAACCAATGTGTGTGTCGCTAACTCAGTGCCTGCATGCACATACCATGGGATCTCACAAGCCACATGCATGGAGAGACAGACAAGCATGTAGACCCAAAAAAAAAAAAAAAAAAAAAAAGGCATGATGAAAGGAGCAAAGAAAAAGGGGAAAGCATGAAGCATGGTTATGCACGTACATCTCAAGCATTAGTGCTCCTGTATGGTCAGTGGTTTGGTCTATTTCCTGCTTTCATTCTAGTCTCCTGATCAGAGATGCCTGATTACTAAGCTATTCCTGAAAGTTGGGGGAATAGAGCCAATGCACCGTATTCCTGAGGCTTTTAATGTGCCAATTAATTGGCTGAATTGGAAAACACGGATGCACTGAAAAACCCCTCTGAATATAACAATATTTTGCATTATATAGCACTTTTCATCCACAGCTATCAAAGCATCATTAGTGGACAGAGACCTGTACCACAAGAACAGGAGTGCCCACAGCCTCCACAGGCCTCTGAAAAAGGTGGGAGGGGGCAGCTTCACGCTCCTGGAAGGGGCGGGACCTGAGGGGAAAGGGGTGGGGCCAGGGATAGCCAGTTCTCCATGCTGCTTGGAGCCTGGCCGCACCCCAGCCCTACATGCTGCCTGGAGTGGACCACAGTCCTCCCCCATGACCCGAGAGCCACACGGAGCATGCCATGTGCACACCAGCAGTTATTTAAAACAGCTACTGCTGCCCCCACACTAGCCAGGAATCCTGGGCACCCTTTGAATCGCCGGGCCCCGGGGCAGTTTTCCCTCCCCCCGGACGGTGGACCTGCACACGAAGGGCTTAAATCTACAAATTCAATAGCGGACTTTCAGTGTTGAGTGCCCCAGTTCATGGACCATCTCTGGATACCCATGACCTGGTTTTTCCTAAATGCCAACAACCCCAAATGAAGTTAGTGTGAGTTGCAGGGGCGCCTCCCCTTTGAAAATACTGAGAGTCAAAAATGGCCTAAATGTCCAGGACAAGTCCTAAAGGGACTTCAGTGCTAGGGTGCACAGGGAGTCAATGGCAAAGCGACGTACCAGCAGCTTGGTGTCCTGGTTCCTAGTTTGGTGCCCTATTTATGGGCCGCACTTTGGATAAACTTTGGCAGGCTAGTTCATCCACAGATTCTGTGAAAGGCAAGCGGGGAAGAGAGCTAGAGGAAGGAGTGGATTCCGTTTTCCGCCCTTTTTGATAGCTTGACAAACAACCCAACAGTGCTGTATTTTATTTTACTTTCCAACGTGAAGGTGTCCTAGGGTAGTGTCACACTAGTGTTCCCCAAATGAAGTTAGTGTGAGTTGCAGGGGCGCCTCCCCTTTGAAAATACTGAGAGTCAAAAATGGCCTAAATGTCCAGGACAAGTCCTAACGGGACTTCAGTGCTAGGGTGCACAGGGAGTCAATGGCAAAGCGACGTACCAGCAGCTTGGTGTCCTGGTTCCTAGTTTGGTGCCCTATTTATGGGCCGCACTTTGGATAAACTTTGGCAGGCTAGTTCATCCACAGATTCTGTGAAAGGCAAGCGGGGAAGAGAGCTCGAGGACGGAGTGGATTCCGTTTTCCGCCCTTCTTGACAGCTTGACAAACAACCCAACAGTGCTGTATTTTATTTTACTTTCCAACGTGAAGGTGTCCTGGGGTAGTGTCACACTAGCGTTCTCCTTCACACTGTCAATGTCAGCTGTTTTGGGTTACGAAATTACACTGGGGTGCTTTGTCTTGTCAATGCGGGGAAGCAGGAGTAAAAGGGAATTCCCATTCAATACCTCAACATTGTACCAGAGACTGTCCTTCTGATGGTTTACTAACCCGGGTACATGGCATGGATGGACATAAAACGCAAACAAAGGCTGTGGCAGACACCGTTCTGCCCACACAGAGGGCAGCTGCAATGTTCCACCTGAAATGAATGCAAGGCCTGACATCCTGAGACAAGAAGGTGCTGCCATTTTACAGTGGATAAAATGGGTGGGGGAGTGCAAAGTGGTTGTTGTCTACACTTCCTGGTACCTGCTCTCTGTTGGCTGACCATGGATTGGAAAATCAAGATGTTCCCATTGTGTTGGGCAGAGGTGTTCATGATACATTAAGGAGGCTGGGTTTTTTTTTTTCCACGTGCTGTTTACCTTCCCCGCTGTGCGTTTTTCAGGCCTTGTGTGTGTGTCTTCTAATGGTTTTGCATTTCAGTTGAATTATTGGTACTCCCCCCCGCCAGGTGAAAATGAAGTTCCCTAGGGCTGATGCCTACAAGCAAACTGGAGGTATGATTCATGGTTTGGAAAACAAAGCGACACCGACCATGACCTGCTAATGACCCAGGGTGAGAAATCTAACCCCGTTCGGCCTCCCGGAGGAAATGGCCCCACCCACCTTCGGGTATGGTCAAAGCTCATGGTGAGAGATGCGGGTTCTTCATCCTCCTCATCCTCAAACGTTCCTCGGGGCTCCGTTGTGGGCGATACGGTTTCATCCTGGGACTTCCCTGTCAGGCTGTCGTCATCTTCCTCCTCCAGTTCTTCCTCCTCCTCGTCCACATCGTCCGTTTTCTCGTTTGCTAACCCATGACACTGGGAGTTGCTGTCCATGTCTTGGATTTCTGGCCTGGAAGGTTTGAGCATGAGGGAAGGAACCAAGAGGTGAGTTGGGAACAGCAATGATGCAAGCGTCAGGTATTTAACCATTGATTTGTTATTTACAGGCCTGCTGACAGGTATGGGGGAGGGGCCAAAGAGGCAACTGCCCTAGGACTTGGTGATTCAAAAGAGCCTACTATGGCAGTGGTGGTGGCCGGAGTCCTGGGCCCTTTAAATCATCACCGGAGCCCCACCGGATGCTAGTCCCCCGTCCCACCTGAGGCCCTGCCCTTTTCGGGAGCAAGGAGCCATCCCCACTAGTCTTGCCCTGGGGCCTGGCCATTCTGTCGCCCCCCCTCGTCCCCGGTTATTTATGATTCAAAATGGCTGGGGGTAAAAAATATCTATTAGAAGATAATGAGTAGTCCCCGTGGCATGTTAGAGACTAACACAAATGTAGTCTCATGAGCAAAACCCAACTTCCTAAGATGAGTTGAAGTGAAAGTACAAAAACCAAGAGGTATATAACAGCAAAAAATTTGTAGGACTCATGTTAATTAGGCTAATTAAGTGAGCTGGGTATGTCCCATGCATCATTTTTATGTGGAAATGCAGATGTTAAAGGCAAGAGAAATTGGCTTTGTAATGTGCCAACCAGTTAATATCTTTGTTCAAGTCCAGGGTAACAGTGTCATGTTTGTAGGTGAATGTCAATTCTGCGGCCTCACTCTGTAATTTGGAGTGTAATAAGACATGTTTCTGCTGCCTTTAACAACCCCATTTTTAAATAAAAAAGCTAAGAATGGGACACTTCCAGCCTTCTTAAATACACTCATTAGCACCGGTCCTCCAACTGACAGGCACTTTTTTGCTGTTACACACACACATACACACATATCACGGTTTCGATTATTTCCACTCCAACTCGTCTGAGGAAGTGGGTTTTGCCCACGAAAGCTCATGAGATGTGTATATATTTTAGTTAGTCTCTAAGGTGCCACAAGACTACTTCTTATTTACAGCCTAACAGGGCTACCCCTCTGAGAATATTAGAAAATCTAAACCAGGCTTTCTCACCAACGTAAGATTATCTAAGAGCTAACAGAGTGAGTCAAGTATATTTCATTCTTAAAACTAGATTTTGTTTAGTCTGGATTTAAGTATCTTCGCTCCTTGGACTGTAACTTCTATGAACCCAGGGGTATGTGTTTGTGCTTATAGTATCAAAATACCCACTTACCTAGTGATAAAACTCCACAACTGGACAGGGAAAGTTTGAAATGAAACCTAACAGCCCCCCTAAATCTTCCTTTGTCCCCTGGTTATACCCATATGGACATGAGAGTATATAAGCCTCCAAGAAAATAAAGCAAGCCAGGTTAAGAGAACAAGTTACCGTTTGGGAATGGTCACAACATGTAGTTGGAACGCTCTGCAGTACTGCTAAATAGAATGAGAGAAGTTTAACTTCTTCATCCCGAACGTTTCCACAACCTGATTTGTGTTAAAATCAGGAATGTCACTGTCAAGATTACACTAATTACATAGAGGTCCCATACAAGCATTTTTGGCTTTTTTGTGTTTTTTTAAACCAAAACAAAAAAAGCTTTCAAACTTGGTATCAGCATTCAATGGTCATTTGTAAAAACAACAGAGCAGCAGGAGCATAATTGCAACCGGGCCTGGAACGGAGTGACATTTGTACAACACAGAATGTCCCTTTTGGTTCCTCTGTAGATTAAATATCACTCAGTCAAAATAAGGTTTAAAAAATTAAGGGAAAACTCAGATGTTTTCCAAGCCCTGGATCTTGTCACTTAGTCTAAACACATCATCAGCATGTTTGTTTTAGAGAATTTTGATCGATTTTCTGTAAGGTACGGGCATAAATTTGATTCTCCCTCTGGATCAGTTATACCAGCCTGCAGAGAAGTTCTGCTCTTGTCTATTTTTTTGTCTACATCAGGCGAGGTTCAAAGATTCCAAATTACCCTCAGGAAATACAGTGAACCTTTCCCCCCTGTTTTATTTCCACGTATGCAATCTAAACAAACAGCTTTGCTGGGAAGTTTGTGGCTAAGATGGGGTTACTTTATCTTGCTTTCAGGACTAAGATGAAGGCAACGGAGTAGAGAAGGAAATGGAAAACGTCTACATTTCACATTTTTACAAGCCTTCTGAGTGAAGTGAAGTGTTGCGTTCCACATGTAAGTTCCAGAAGGCTGTTGCTACTGTGGGCAATGAACACAACGCTGCGTTGCGGGAAAGTTCAGTGCTGAATGCCACATAATCATTCAGCATCAGCACAATTTGTTCTTTGTTCATGAACACAACTGACTATCCACGACTGGGCCCATGAGTGAAGGAGTAAAGGAAGGGATCTGTGGAACTCTAGCTGGGCAAAAAGTTATGGAGCCAAATTTTCCCAGGAGAAAATAAACATTTGGCAACATCTGTACAAACTAGTTGGTCAATTTCAGCAAATTTGGGGATTTTCCTGGCCCAACTAAAAATTAAAAAAAAAATCTTTGGATAATTTTTCTAAGGAAACCATTTTTTGTTTGAAACGCTGTTTACCCATTTCTTCTAACTTAACTTGAAATATCGAAAGTGTTCAAGAAGAGCAGAATGAAGAACTGAACCAAAATGTTGCATTCAACTCAAAGCAATTTTCTGTGTGTGTCTTTTCAATTTGCCAGAAATGTTTAACATTTTTATTTTCAGTCCTATCTGAAACTTTTTAAAAAAAACTTTTTGAAATTGCCATTAAATGGACAAGCAGGCTAGGCACCCTTCTCTGCTTGGGAAGTGGGACTCACCGGAGCAGTGAGCCCATGATGCCACACGGCTTTTGGTGGGAAGGGGATGGAAGGGAAAGTCAAAGGGCCAAGTGAAGACTTGAGGTGAGCTGGAGCAGTTCCAAGGCTAGTGTCGTTCGCCACTGGAAGTCTAAATTTGCCCCAAGGAGTCCGACGGGTGGGGGGACAGAGAGCTGATGTCTACTCTACACAAACAAGTGAGGAGAGGGTGAAATAGTCGGGGTAGGGAGGAGCTCGTTAGACGTATTGATATGGGGAGAGGGAGATGGTTTTCTGAAGGGGCTGCACACTGGGGGACCTGGGCCACGTTTCAAGTTAAGCCACGGCCATTAATGAGCTTGTTCAAAAGGGCTCTCTTTGGCAGGGGGGTTCTTCTCTATGGATCGTGTTTCCGGGGGAAAGGTGGAGGCCCTTTTCCTCCGTTTGCTTCCATGCTGAGGTCTCAGCCCAGCCTCACTTGATTTCCAGCCAGGCAGGGTCAAAACCCAAGGCACTGCACACTTGGCTTTCCCGAGACCTTCCTCTCCTGTCTGCTGGCCGACTCAGCCCCCAACCCAGAGCTGGGGCTTCTGTGCTCCTTTGGCAACCTCCCGGCTTTGGTGAGATGGGCTCCGGGATTGGATGGGGACAGGGCAGCCATAACGGGTATTTTTACTTGGAGGAAAATGAGGGTTTAACAAGTCATTTTGATGCACTGTGGCCATGTCCCCAGACTCTAGGGGGTTCACACAGAAGGTGCACTAGGCCAGTAGGTTTCAAACATGGGGTCGTGGCCCAGGACTGGGGGGTGGGATGCTGGGCGCTGGGTCTCGGTGCTGCAGGGGGATCAGAGGAGCAGTGGGGGGCTAAGGCAGCTCCCTGCCTGTCCTGCACCACGGACTGCGCTGGGCCCCAGAAGTGGCTGGCAACAGGCCTGGCTCCTAGATGTGTGTGTGGGAGGGGGGAGAGTGCACAGGGCTTCCCGCACTGCCCCTGCCCCCAGTACTAGCCCCATACTCCTATTGGCTGGGAACCTGCTGCCGGCTGCTTCTAGGGCACAACCTGGTCTGTGGTGCCAGGAGAGGCAGGAAGCTGCTTTAGCCCCCTTGCTGCAATGCTGACCGGGAGCCATTCGAGGTCAGCCCCTCCTGCCCCCCCAAGCCAGAGCCCTGTCCTGCACCCCAAAGCTCCATCCTCAACCCCACCCCGGAGTCCACAATCCAGTCACATTCTGCTGGGTCGCAGCATCAACAATTTTCTTCCACTGGGTTATGAGAAAAAAAAGTTTGAACCCCCCCATTGCCTAGATTTTGCAACACTGAAGAGAAAATCTCCGGGCTCCATGTCTCCGACCCAGGCTCGATTAACCGGGGCTCATGGACGCCCAATAGCAGTGTCGACGTTCCGGCTCAGATGGGAGCCTGAGCTCTGAGGCCTGGCGTGGGGGAAGGTCTCAGATCCCAGACTCCAGCCAAGTGAGAAAATTTTTGGCTCTGAAGCTTGAGCCTTGCGACCCTGAGTCAACTGATCCAGGCTCTGGGACCTGGCGCCCTGGGATTTATGGTGGCCACGTCTTTGAGGTAGCAATGCACCAAGAGCACTTGCAGAAGCTTCCCAAGAATAATAACGATCCTAGAAACAAATAAGAAACTAGATGTCTGGTGCAGGTAGGACCTCTCTAGTCTGGGACTCTCTGGACCATGGATGTTGCTGTTGGGAGGAGGTGGGGGTGGCCGGGAGTCCAATGGCCGAGTGGCTGGTGGCAGGGGCCAGGAATGCAATTGAGGCTGATGGCCAGAGCCAGGAGCTGGGCCAGGGCTGGGGCCAGGAACATTGTAAGGGTGGTGGCTGGAAGTGCAGCTGGGAGGGGAGCCCAGCAGCCAGGAGGCTGGTGACCCACTGGGGGAGCTTGGCGGCTGGCAGCAGGGGGCCAGAATTGGCCTCCCCTGGTCCAGCAAACTCCCTCCTTTGGGACCGATCAGCTCCTGAGGGTGCCGGACAAGGGAGGTCCAACCTGTCGCATGCAAGCGAAAGAAGATTAGACCCTCAAGCCAAGGCTGAGTTTTGAAAAGTGAACCTCTTGACTGATGAGTGTCTGATTCTTCCTGAATAGTGACCTTCCCCATTGACTTGTGCGCCCTTTCCCACTGAATTCTGGACTCATGGAGGGTCCGTCCCTCATGCTCACGCCCAGAGACAGCCCGTCCTTTCCTCCCGTGCTACAGAGCAGTCTGAGCTATACCACTCATCCTGGGACAGGAACTTTGACTCCTGAGACTCCTTGTACAGCACTTTCCAATTCTTTTCTGCATATTCGACGCCTCATTTGAGGATTTCCTGTTCTGCTCAGTCCTGCTGGGGCACCTGGCAGTGGCCGCTGTTGGAAGACAGGGTCCTGGGCTAGCGGGAGCTACTGGTCTGATCCTGTGTGGCCGTTCTTATGTACCTTCTGCCATGAGCAGGAAGGAATCGGGACGTTGGTTAAGGAGCCCAAGTTGAGTACCCTGCAGGATTCTCATGATCACTATCGTCTGCTCAAGTTATTTGAAATCAGGGCCTGAGCACGGAGATGGCTGGCCAGCCCTGGAAGACCCTGTTAAGACGTTCCCATGAGAAAGCGGCTTTGTTTGTTTACCTTTTCTCTGTTAAAGTCGACGCTTGATTCATCTCGTTATTTGCAATAAAATTTCTGATTTCAGAGAAATACGAGTCCTCTTTCTCGTCTAAAAGTGCATGGTTGTCTGACTCCGAGTTTGGGGAGGAAGCGCGGGTCCCAAGGTGGTTAGTGATGACCCCTGAGTGCTGGCTCACTGCACAGGGACAAGAGAAGAACCAAGAGAAAGACTCAGGTGTTGCCAATGCTGCTCTCAACAGAAAACAAGGGGGAAGATTAACACAATAAAGCATTTTCTGCATGGTAGGAATATACAGGGTGAACCTCTCTAGTCCGGCATCCTGGGGACCTGACCGGTGCCGAACCAGAGAATTTGCTGAACCACAGGAGGTCAATATTATCTAGCAGCATTACTAACACTTCTACTGCTTCCTGAGCTCTGAGAAGACATTTTGGGGTAAATTAGAGCTAAATAACAGCACAGAACACTGCACGCCAGGCCTGGTGGCTGCAAACAAACTTTATGGCCTTCTGGGAAACTTGGCCACACCCGCGGTAAGTGGACATCCAGCTAACTCAAATCATGTCAGACTTCGGATGTTGCCGGATCAGGGAGTGCTGGACTAGAGAGGTTCAACCTGTACATGTAAAGAAAGCTTCAGGAAACAAAAAATCTCAGTAGAAAAAGCTGGTATCTTCCAAAAGGGAATGTGCACAGTGAGATATAGTTAATATCTGGACAAGGACAGAAAATATTCGTATGTATTATTCTCCATCTCTCTTAGGTTCTTATTCCCCCCGCTCCACACACACACTCACTAACTACTGAAGTATCTGAGATCTTCTCCAGCTTTAGTGAATTTATCATCGTAGCACTGTAGGCAGGCAGGGCAGTCTTATGTTCTCCATTGGACAAATGCAGGAATGGAGGCCTGGAGAAATGAATTTTAAAAGCATCTACATACTTAAAGATGCAAAGAAGCACCTCAGGAGATTTTCAAACCCGCCCCGAGCATGTTTGAAAATTCTGAAGGTGCTTCAATACCTTGAATAAGTGACTTGCCCAAGGTTTCACACGGAGGCTGGGACAGAGCTAGAAACAGAATCCATATCTCCTAGGTTCCAACCCTAAGCATTGGGCCACACTTCCTCTCTGATATGGTATGTCTAGACTGCACTCTAAAATCGAAATAAGATACGCCATTTGAAGTATGCAAATGGTGTATCTTATTCCGATTTTACTTTGAAATAAGGTATTTCAAAATTTAGTGCATCTACACAGCACCAAATTTCTAAATAAAGCACTATTTCGAGATATTTCTTATTCCTCGTGAAAAGAAGTTTACAGGGATGCTGAAATTATGTGTCCATTATTTAGAAAATTATTTTGAAATAGCGGATGTGTTCCTTGGACATGGGGTAGCTATTTCGGGTTACCTCTTGCACGCTAGACGTACCCTCACTGTGCAGTTAGCAGTTCTAAATAATACTTTGAATTTGTACTGTCATGTACACATTTCAGTATTATTGTCATTGATGGTGTAAAAACACTGGAGAAAAAGGATCCATTTGATTTGCTTGTCGCTTTTTCAAGAATTTTTTTCTGGTCTGAATGTCTACATATGGGGTTTTAATGTACAGATTCCTTCTCTTGTTGTGGGGTTGGTTTGTTAGATTTTTGCTTCTGTTAAAAATAACTTACCTGCTTCAGCAACGTGAGCATGTAAAATGCATTTTTCAACTTTAAAATGTGTGTGTGTTTGTGTATGTGTGAAAGAGAAAGAGAGAGGCTATATCTACACTACAGATTTTTTCAGAAAAACAGCTGTTTTTCCGAAAAAGCTTTACTTATGTCCACACTGCAATCGAGTTCTTTCGAAAAAAATCAAAAGAACAGAGGGGTTTTTCCGACTTTGGTAAACCTCTTTCTACGAGGAAGAAGCCTTTTTCTGAGAGAGTTCTTTTGGGAAAGGCGTGTGTGGATGGAGAAGACAGAGTTCTTTTGAAAGAAGAGGAAAGAGAAAAAAGCACAGGTGCCCTGGTGGCCACTCTGTCCATAGTAATCACAGCTTGAATGCGAGATAGCGTCCATTCAGTGTGGACGCTATCTTTTGAAAAAGCAGATCACTTTTTCAATGCACTTTGGCAGTGTGGACGCTCTCTTTCGGAAGAAGTTTTTTCGGAAGATCTTTTCCAGAAAAGCTTTTTCCAAAAGAAGCCAGCAGTTTAGATGTAGCCAAAGAGAAAGAGAAAGAGAGATTTCATTATAATTTTAGAAATGCGACATCTAAAATAAATATTTTTCTTTTTCTGTCTAGTAACATTCATACACCAGAATGGATATTTCCATGAAGATGCGCACATGTAAACCCCTAAAATAAATATTTTTCTTTTTCTGTCCAGTAACATTCATACACCAGAATGGATCTTTCCTTGAAGATGCGCACATGTAACCCCAAGGCTATGTCTACCTTGCAGGCTTTTGCAGGCAGAGAGTATGCTAATGAAGCACTCATTAGCATTTGTCACGCTGTCATTTGCATATTCTCTGCCAATGCTTTTTGCGCAAGAGGTTTTTGCACAAAAACAAGCAGTGTAGATGGATCCGTTTTGTGCAAAACCCCCCTTTTGCCTCAAAAAAGGAGGTACAAGGTGTTTTTTTGCTCAAAATGGACCCATCTACACTGCTTGTTTTAGTGCAAAAACCTCTTGAGTAGAGAATATGCAACAAATGCTAATGAATGCTTCATTAGCATACTCCCTGCAAGCAAAAGCCTGCAGTGTAGACATAGCCCGAGTGACTTAAATTGGGGATTTCTCTCTCCCGGGCCCCTAACAGAATTAAACTGAAACGTGGACCCCCAACCTGGCACATTCTCATGTTCATGCTTCTTAAGGTGTCGGTCCAAGTTGGTCTGCTGCCCAAAGCATCGGTTACACAAGTGACATTTGAATGGCTTCTCCTTGTTATGGATGTTTCGAACGTGCCGCTGGAGGTTAGAGGAAATGCTGAATGACCTGTCACAGTATTTACACCTGAAAAATAGAAGCAAATGCCAGTGAGCGCAACCGAGGGGGAGAAAAAGCAAACCCTAGCATCAAACATTGCTCTATAAATCTTACCTTGACGGAGGACCTAGAAACATGGGGCATTAATCAACGCCGACAATTCTGATATTATTATTCAAGACGCAGGAGGAGGGGGTTCAGATTAATTAAGAGGTTAGCCAGCCCAAACAAATAGGAATGTAAAATGAAAGAATTACGTTTCTGTGTATAAAGGTACCAACACGAAAGGAGAAGCGAAGTCTCTCAGGCTTCTTATTTTGTAAAGAAAGAAGAAGGAAAAGGAGACAGGAGGAAAAAGAACAGGCCATGAGTAGATTGACAAGTGACAGAGTCATTTGGAGAGAAAATAGACTCTAGTGATTTTTTGTGAAATTTCTAAAGGGCTGAAGGAGCAAAGAGATGTCAGGGCATAGGCCTATTCGCATGTCATTAATAGCCACTAATGAATATTTATATTGCGGTGGTACTAAGCATCTGCAAAACAGTCTCCAACTAACAGAGGGACACGCGCAGCCTGCCCCTGAATAGGTCAATCTGAAGACCAAGTCTTGACTTCTTTAATAAAGGAGCATACAAACCGGAGAAGGCATTTAGAAAGGTGGGAGGAAACCCACCTCTTGGTGGGAAGTTAGCGAGCGTAAGGAGCTGGGGGAAGAGCACTGAGAAAGAGGGAAGTGGGAAAGATTCTCCCTTTCAAAAAAGTCTCTGGAGAAGCCACAGGTTGATGTGTCAAAACTTTGATAGGGTCGCCAGATGGTTTCAACAAAAATACCGGACACACTCGACATGACCTCACAATCTACATTACATCTTAGTTAGAAAATGCCGGACATTTCTATTTTCTCATTTCTATTTTCTCAATTTGTTTCCCGAACAGGAAACTCAAATACTGGACTGACCCGTTCAAAACCGGACACCTGGCAACCCTATTTTTGAAACAAAGTTGGAGGAGACAGGCCTTTGCAAGATCAGAGGTGTCTCTGTGTACCCATTCACACTGAGTAGCAGGGATTTACCTAACTTACTGAAGAGGGCAGCTTTGAGCCATGAGGAAGGGATTCAGCCAGGAAGGCTTCAGACATTACCTCCTTTTTGTACTAGTCTGACTCTCAGCAAGTTAACATTCCTCAAGACTCCTTTCCCCATGTCCCATCACCACAAGCAGCACCAGCAGGGGACTGCTTCCTCCTCTGCCAACTTTTGCAATTTTTTTTTTACACTTTCTGGACCAATTTCTTCCCTTGTGCCAGCGTAAATAACTTGCCTTGCTTTCGGGAGAGTTGTTCTGGATATACACAGGCATAAGCAGAAGCAAAACCTGGCCTATTAAACCCAGGTGCTGCAGAACACCACAAAAACCCTGCTGTTGGCTGAGGAGATTTGCCAGTGTTGCTCAGGTCCTTCATTCATTTTTGGTTTTTGTTTCATTTAATTCATTGCTCGGGGCTGGGGCTGGGGAGGAGGGGTTTGTATGCAGACTGCCCTGAGGAGAGAGGACAGCCCCAGCCCTCTGTCACCTCAGCATCTTGGGACCATGTGAGAAGCGCCTGTCTATGGCCGCTGCAGCTGCCGCGGGAGGGGTGCGACACACAGACAGACGGACACACAAACAGACACATTCTCTGACATATATAGTAGACAGCTGTCCTTTTCTCCTCTCCTGCCCCCTGTTGGCCCAGTGGGGCCATAGCTGCCCTGGTCCCCATCTCTGGCCCCTTGCTGCCCCTCTGTGGTCACTATACGGTATGACTGTCCCATCCTATATGTCCTGCTGCCCCCATGTGGTCATTAAATAGCAGAGTCCCCCGCCCCTTTCCATTTTATGAGCAACAAAAGAGTTCCAGGTACATCCCATTGTCCTGGCACAGGCAAACCCTGACCTTGCTTTTAGTTATGATAAGAGGAAGCTGCCTGCTGAATTAATGGTCCTAGCTCCTAACTCAGGAGGAGTTTTTGAACAAACACACACACACACACACACACACACACACACACACACACACGTACACACACACACGTACACACACACACACTCAGACAGACAAACTCTCAAATACATAGTGGCTTATTGTTGAACATAACAGGTATAGATAAAACTCTCCTCCCAGATATTTATGGATTCCACCTCCAACTCAGTGTTAATGGCTGTTCAATCTCAAACAGGGATCAAGACATTAGATAAAATGTCCTTTCATGCAGAATACACAGGAAACACACAGACTTTTGCTTTATTACATTTTTTTTTCAAACTGCCTTTCTCCAAAGCTATTTTCCAAATACATTTCGGCTGCGTCTAGTCTGGTATGATTTTGCGGAAATACTTTTAACGGAAGATTTTCTGTTAAAAGTATTTCCACAAAAGAGCATCTAGATTGGCACAGGTGCTTTTGTGCAAAAAGTGCTTTTGCGCAAAAGCATCCGTGCCCAGTATAGATGCGCTTTTGTGCAAGAAAGCTCTGATGGCCATTTTAGCCATCGGGCTTTCTTGCGCAAAAAATTAAGGTGCTGTCTACACTGGCCCTCTTGTGCAAGTATTCTTGCGCAAGAGGGCTTATCCCTGAGCGGGAGCATCAAAGTATTTGCGCAAGAAGCACTGAATTCTTACATTAGAACGTCAGTGCTCTTGCACAAATTCAAGCGGCCAGTGTAGACAGCTGGCAAGTTTTTGCGCAAAAGAGGCCGCTTTTGCGCAAAATCTTGCCAGTCTAGATGCACCCTTCTTGTTTAACTCCACTCCTACAAAACTGCAAACTGAACCATCGATGAAAACAGAGCAAGAAGCCTCTTTGAAACTTTGAATTTGCTGGCAACAAAAAGGAAAAAACCCACCCTATTTTATTCATTGATGACTAGATGCCCAAGTTTGGTGCAGCTCCCTTTCCCTCCCCCAATGGGAAGGATTTGCTTTGCAAATATGTTGGACATCTGAAGCTACTACTGACGCTACCTGAAGATGAGCTGCCTGCCACTTCTGTTAATCAAGATTAAACTGTCCAAATTTTAAAAAGGGCTTAATTATTCTGTAGACACCTGGTTTCCAATTCTTCCCCTTTGTATCTACAGAAATATGACCTTGCGGAGTCAAAGTGTGCTTGCTTTCTTATATTGTCCCATATGTTGTTGTTATTATAGTTCAAAAGGCTAGAAAACAAACACACACAGCAAGTACACAAAGGTGATGCTAAAATTGGCAGGATCCTCCCCCAAGTAAACCAACCTCAAACCAATTTATGCCAATCCAAACCACGCCCTATTAGCTGCGTGAAGAACTGCAGCATGCACAGAACAGGCCGTCACACCGAGAAATGGCTTCAAACGACGTGTGTGCTGGACAACAATGGGGAGATTCTCAGGCACTCACAAGCGCGGACAAGTGGGGGGCTCTGAAAGACGCTGTCTCAGAGTGTGGCGGCGGGATGGGGGGAGAGGAGTCACACCATAACTCTGGAAGAGTAAGTGTAAGAAAGCAGCCACCCAAGGCGTGTTTTGATTCCAAGGTGCATCGCCTCCCTATCCCAGGTTGAAGCTGCCGGCAATAGGACGAGGATGCCGTAGAATGACACAAACCTCTAGAAAGAGACACAAGGCGTTTAGCTTCTTGAATGTAGAAGCTTCTACCTGTCTAGCCTTCACTGTCTGGCCTATTGCTCCAACCACCTGCTCTGACTGCCTCTGCTCTGGCCCTCATGCGCCCAGCAGCTGTTAATGAGCTGCGCCTTCGTTACCGCACCGCGCACAAGCTTCTTGTCTTTGCCGTCCTGGCTCTTCCTTGCTGAGCCCTGCCCTGCTTTGCTGTAGTATCCTCTCGTTAGCCGCTCCCTCCTTCACGTGACTCATGTCTCCGCCTTCTCTGTCCACTGGTCTGTGTCTTGTGCATGGGAAATACTCCCCTGAGAAAACCTTCCTCGTCCTCTCTCAACTCCCTGCTTCAGGCTCTCAGTGGGGCAGACAGCCCCGCTGGGTGCCTGGGCAAGGTGGGAGGGGCCATTCCCATGCTCCTGGAAGGGGTGGGACCTTGGGCAGAGGGGGCGGGGCGATTTAAAGGGCTCAGGGCTCTAGGGCTCTGGGCTCTTTTGAAACACCGGGCCCCTGGGGAATTGTCACCTTTGCCCCTCTGTAGCATGCTGCCCACGCACCCGTGCCAGTTAAGCATGGCTGGATCGCTGCAGATTCCTTCCTTTCCGTACTCCCTTCCTCCTTCTGACTCTACCATTCCTTCTCCCACCTCCACCCCCGCTAAAAAATCAAAGCGCAACAAAACAGGCCATTGCTCAAATCGTGGCAGTTATCCACCATTTCCGCATGTGTTTTATCTCCCTCCCTTCGGTTTGTTTTGGGTCTGTCCGCTATTTGGAGTAATGATCACTCTTACGTGTGTTTGTACTGCGCCTGACACAACCGGGCCTCAGTCCTCACTGGTGCCTTTCACTGCTACCGCAGGATAATTGTTCGCTGCTGCTGCGACGGCTGTACGTCTGCTTGCCGTGTTCGGCTCACATTCCTCACAGGAGCAGTCCTGGGGACTTCAAAGGGACTATGCACAAGTAAGGCAAGAAGGATTTGGCCCTATGTTTGTCAGTTTATTTAGATGTTCAGGAAGCCTTTGAAAAGTTTCACTGGACAGGCCCTCCCTTTGACCATGAGCTATGGGGATCCCGGGTAGGATATGGAGAACGGCTCAAGAGCTTGTTAAAAAAACAGAACACAGAGGGGCAAGTGAAGGGGGGCATTTCTAATGTCTGTGAGTGCTGAGACGAGGGAGACATACCGTCTTCAGCATGGCCCCAGAGGGATCAGAACTTGGATCTCAGATGGTTTTAATCTAAATAAATTACCTCCCCAGAAAGACCATCTTTAACTTTAGGGAAGAGATGAATGCAGAGGGTGAAGGAAAGGAGAATACAAAAGCAGTTACATTGGGTTAGGCAACGCACTGACAAATTGCGAGGGAAATTTATTGCTGAACAATTTAAAAGAAATACACCAGCAGGCTCACAAATAATGTGCAGGAGCACATGATGGATAGCGTTGAGCCGGAGTGGGGGAACTTTGAGAAGGATCTCACAGAAAGAGGGGAAAACCTGGGAGACCTCAAGGAATACAGAGACATGGTTTAATAAGCTACTTGCAGGGAAAAATTCAGTTAGATCACTGGTGTATAACATCGTGGAACTAAGCTAACCACACTATAACTAAGATACTCTGATGAACGCTCAACGGCTGCACCTAGATTGGCATGATTTTCCGGAAATGCTTTTAATGGAAAAGTTTTCCGTTAAAAGCATTTTCGGAACAGAGTGTCTAGATTGGCACGGACGCTTTTCCGCAAAAGCACTTTTTGCAGACAAGCGGCCATGGCCAATCTAGACGCGCTTTTCCACAAAAAAGCCCCGATCGCCATCTTCGCGATCGAGGCTTTTTTTGTGGAAAACAAATCTGAGCTGTCTACACTGGCCCTTTTGCGCCAAAGCTTTGCGCAAAAGGGACTTTTGCCTGAAAGGGAGCAGAATAGTATTTCTGCAAGAAGCACTGATTTCTTACAGTAGGAAGTCAGTGCTTTTGTGGAAATTCAAGTGGCCAGTGTAGACAGCTGGCAAGTTTTTCTGCAAAAGCGGCTGATTTTCCGGAAAAACTGGCCAGTCTAGACACAGCCAACTAGTATATTATTTGCCTTGTTCTTTCTACACGACATGATTCCACTTGCAAAACTTTACATTTATTTGAAGACTCAATAACAAGCTCTGTAAAAACAGTAAAAGCCCTTAAACATATAGGTTCATATGCCCTCCCTATATCACTTCCTAGTCTTGAGAGGAGTTTCACCATGGATGCAGTTAGGCCATGATCTTTAACAGAAAACAAGAAAGAAGAGATTTTTATTGACCCGTGTGCAATCTTAAATGACATGGTAAATGTCAGCTGTAGTTGTTAGTTTCAACTTAGTGCAGGCAACAGGACATGGGGGCCTAAAAGGAAATTAAAGAAAAACAAATTCAAAACAGACGCCAGGAAGCACATCTTTATAGAAAGAATCGCAGATCTAGGGAGCAGGGTAACAGGCAAGATTGCGAAGGCTCCAGGATTGGGTGTAACTCAAGAATCAATTAGATGGCGTCCTGGAGAGAATGGACTTTTGAAACAGGGAATAAGCCTTGTTGAGCCAAATGGCCTTTGCTTGTTCTTGATTCTGGTTTTAGGTCGTTTCAAAGCAGGAGGGGGAAAGACCCAACAAAACACTCTTGTATTCTTGGGCTTTAAACAGTAAGCAGGTCATTAAAAAAACTGCTTCTTCTGAATCTTGCTTTGCCGTCCAAGGAGGATGACAGAATCCTGGGTTTTTACTACCTGAGTTGCCAGAGAGATTTGACATTATTTCACAAGCCAACTTATTTTGTCCTCCTCTGAAGGAAATTGGAATAGTAAATTTGATTGCTTTGTTTTATTGTTGAATCCTGAAACATACTGTTGAATTTTAGCCCAGCTAGTGGAAAAGAAACATAAATAGGAAAGAATGCCACTTAAATATAAAAATAAGTAGCATTTTAAATTTTCAAAGCATTGTACAAACTTGAGTTAACTAACCCCCATAATGTAGTATATTATTTCTATTTTACAGATGGGGAAAGTAAGACAAATAAGGGTAAAGTGACATGCCAAAGGTGAGACACTTAGTCAGTGGCTGTCAGGAATAGAGGCTAGGTTTCCTGAATTGCTAATTCCTGCTCTGACCATGCTGCCTCTGCATTTGTGCATGTCCATGTGTGTCTGTGTTCCCTGTATGTAATTTGTTCATGAGTTTGAATAATCTTCCATATTACAATGAATAGTCCTGTGATACCTTAGGGTGTGTCTACTCTGCACCATAGGTTGAAATAAGGTAGGCAATTTGAGTATGCAAATTGCCTATCTTATTTTGATGTTATTTTGAAATCACTCATTTTGAAATGTTGCACTGTCTGCACAGGACTTATTTCAAAATAACGCGCTATTCCGAAATGTCTCTTATTCCTCATGGAATGAGGTGTACAGGTATGTCGGAATAGCAAGCCCATGATATTTTGAAATAATGGGCATGTTCAAAAGTTGCAGAATAGCTATTTTGGGATACCTCTGGTATCCCGAAATAGCACTGCAGTGTAGACATAGCACTAGAGACTAATACAAATATGTAGTATTCTCAGCTTTCATGGGTAAAAACTTCTTTGTGAAGTAGGTTTTACCCACAAAAGCTCATGATACTATATATGTTTTTGTTAGTCTCTAAGGTACCACAGGACTACTTGTTTTTTAAGTTACAGACTAACATGACTACCCCCTGAGACTTTTTTCATATTACAGGAGTGAACACAGGAACTGCTTAAAGAATCAAAAGAAAAGTTGCAACAACAAGAAAAAAGTCCTGAGAATCAGTGAAATCCCTTTACCCAGACAAAGTCAGCATTTGCTACAAAAGCTTTCAAAACAATTATTGTTGCTAAAGTTGGAAATGGCCATTCTCAGAGAGCAGACGAAAATCAATGATAATTAAACTCTTCTGTAAACATATCACTAACTCTCAGGAGTACTATTCCAATGCAACATTGTCCAGAAGTCAAACCTCTATTATAAAACACACACATAGCTCATTTTCTGGGAGAAGACCAGATCAAATAAATCTTTATTTTCCTAACCTTTGTTAGGTTGCGTGTCTCCTTTTTTGGAAAAAAACTGGACTAACAATCTATGCGCAATCAGGAGCGAGAATTTTTGTGAAAGAAGGGTGTAGGATGAATATGCAGTATTCATTCAATTCACACCAAATAATAAAGTGGAAGAATTAGAAGCACAGCAAATGATTACAAAACATGTGTTACTTTTGGAAGGCCTTACAATTATTCTTCACAGAAGGCTTACAATTAAAATGTAATTGTTTCAGTAAAGTTTTAAATAAGAGGGGGAAATACATTAAGTTAAACTAAATAGACAAAATATCCAGTATGTTTGACCAAACAGCCTTTTGCGGTTCCTAAAATAGTTTCTGTTTGCCTTTATATGGTTAGTATAAAAGATTCCCCATGGGTATGTCTACACTACCCCGCTAGCGGGGTAATGTAGGCATACCGCACTTGCAAATGAAGCCCGGGATTTGAATTTCCCGGGCTTCATTTGCATAAGCCGGCCGGCACCATTTTTAAATGCCGGCTTGTTCGAACCCCGTGCCGCGCAAGCCGGCATTTAAAAATGGCGCCGGCTGGCTTATGCAAATGAAGCCCGGGAAATTCAAATCCCAGGCTTCATTTGCAAGTGCGGTATGCCTACATTACCCCGCTAGTTCGAACTAGCGGGGTAGTGTAGACATACCCCATGATATTAATTACTAAAACACAATCACAAATCTGAAAGTGCCCTGAATTGTTGATATTAATGTAGCCCCCAAAAACAGTAACTAAGGCTGGCTCTGAAAATGTTAACAAATATTATGCTAAACTTTGGTGACAACGCAACTTGTCCTTTGCTTATTTGAGCTCAGTTTTGCATATACAGTAACACGAGAGCCAGTCAGAACATTTTTTGTCTACGTTTTTGTGAGCAACCAATGAAACAAACCGAACAGCTGAAAGGAAAAAAACAAATGTTTGGCAAACTTTCCCGTCCTTATTTTTCAATGAAAAATATAAATTTTCCAATTACCTCCACTAAATTCAAAAACATGAGCCCCCAGTGGATTTTGCATACAAAGTTTCGATCCCTTGCATGAGCTGGGGATAGAATCCTCTGGAGGCAAACAGGTCTAAAAAGGGAACGCAGGGGTTTGCTCATCTGTAATTCTGTGCACGCGCAAGTGGACACTGAAAGTATTGGCCACCATAAGTAAAAGGCCTGATTTTCACACTTCAAACTGACTTAGGTCAGGCATGCAAGTCTGTCTTATTTACTTACTCAGATTTCAAGAAAGATATTCAAAAAAGGCCTAACGAGCTGTTATTCCAGACACCCGTGACAACTATTAAAAAAGAAAATGCATCAAGCTAAACCCAAGAGCTAACTCACTGGCAGCCACTACAAACTGGTTGGCTCTCTAAAGACAGTGTGCAGCTCTCCTTGAAGTGAACAGTTAACCAGAGTGTTAAACAACACTGAAAATCAAACCACTCAGTTGCCAGCATATATCTAAATAGAGGGTAAGTGCCTAACATAAGGCTTCCAAGACTGACTGTTTTAACCTGTATCCATAACGTACGACCTCACCATTCCACTCAATGGAATACTATGTGACTGCATTATTATGCACGGGTAATATTATTGACATCAATGGAATGGCACCACAGTGAACCAGGCCTTCAACATGTAGGGAAGGAATAATATCAGGGTAAAAGTATCACCTGTAGGGTTGTTCTCCTGTGTGCGTCCGAAGATGCCTTGTCAGATTCGCTGACCGGGGGAAGATCTTACCGCAGTACCTAGGATAGGAGAAGTCACAGTAACCATTGGAGCATTAATTCTCTGCAGTACAAGTTTGCTCTCAACATTGTGTATCACCCACATCTCTGTCTCTCACTCTCTGTGTTTGTGTCTGTCTCTGTCTTTCATTTTGGTGATATGCCCAAATGAGAGCATTTTCCTGTCTCAAATGAGCAGTGCCACTCCACACCATTAAAGTGCAGAAGAGATTGGTACGATTAATCATACTTAAGACACGGAGCAAAAGGAATAGGGGAAAAGACAATTGGTTATATTCAAAGACTGAGAAGGAACAAAGCAGGATCAAATACTCATCATCACATGACTATAAATTACCGTTGTCTGGAAGAACTACTGCAGGTGCGATCATCTGACCCAGATCAGGTGGTTCAACTTTACAAAGTGGCAAGCAGGAAAATAAGAAAGGGAACTGGATTTCACAATGAACACAAAAGGAGGAGGGGGCGATATTGACACATACCATGCTCATGCACTATGATAACAACAAATAAAGCATAAAGGAGGGATCACATTTGTCACTGCAAAACCTGACAGTTAATGTTTCTGCGGGGAGGGGAGGATCACGAACCAGAACACTTTTACATGGTGAAGAATAAGATTCAGAAATGTCTGAACACCCAACTAAAATCCAGGTCTAAAGATGGATGCATCCACTCTCCCAAAAATGCAATGGGAACAAGACCCAAAATTTGTTAATTGCCCCTAAAACCATGGGTGTGTAGGCACACACACAGACGCCTGTAGCTCAATATGCATGCTTAGATATAGGGCTTTGCGGAGACGATGGATCCACATGTATTTTTGTGACCATGCCTACATTTGGAGGATTGTTTTGCTGCATAAAATATCACTTGCAGTGGTGACGTTTTGGAGAGTTGAGGCTACGATGAGCTTGTACGGAAAGCCTGATTGTAGTTCAATTCCCCTCCCCCCCAAATTAATCGAATTTGCATGAGAATTGCCAGATTCAGGCTATCGGTAAAAGGAGGCTGCGGAATGTTTGTCAAATAGAATTAACGCGTCACCCCACGCCCCAATGGAGACTGGTAACTCCTCCACGTGCCCCATAGAATGCCTGTATCTGGTGCAATTCTACCTCCTGTTCCGTATGCTCTGATGTTGCCTTAACAATGATGGAATGATAATCCCAGGTGGAGCAGCTTGGGTTCATTCCACAGGCGGCCAAACCACCCCGGCCTTTACCTGCAGGTATAGCGTTCCTTGCCCTTGCGTAGGATGGGGTCGGACAGCGTTGGGGGCGGGGACCGGAAGTTGAAGGAGTGATGTGGGAGGGGCTGCAGGGAGGCGCCGGTGTCTGCTTTCATGGCCGCAAAGCTCTCCAGTTTCTCTGTCATGGTTTCGATGGCTGACATCTGTTTGCGCAAGGAGAGAGGCGTGTTACGAAAAGCTGCTGAAAGAAGAACTACGGGAGCACAGAACATGAGTCTCAGCTGCACTGTGTGTTCCGGAGGCTACTGCTGGCTGTAGCCCACTCTCCCTCCGAAGCCAGACCCACAGAGTAAAAGAGATTCACTTGAACTCAGTGGAGGCACCTACAAATAATTAACCAGGCTCTGAGCGATCAGCTGAAGATCCAGCTGATAAAACCAGGCTTGGCCGTGCAATGCGCGTTGCAAAGTTAGAAGCCGTACGAGGCCCATGCCTATCTTCTTGTGCCCAGGTGTTTACTTTGGGCAATAACAACAGCCTTGGAATGCACTTGGCATCTCTCCGCCTCTATGTAAACCAGGCGATGAAACTAGACGAAAGTGTGCAAGGCAGAAGTAGCAGGGCAAACACTTCCCTCCAACTCAGAGCCAACATGGGACCAGAACGTAGCAGATAAGCCTTTTACTGTGAACAGCGCATCCACCACCCTTACACAGTCTTGCCAAGAGCTTCAGCGGGAGAGACAGACAACTCCAGGGCGAAGGGAAGAGGAAGGTTGTAGCCCTGGAAAGGGTTCTCAAGGAGGAGGCAGGAGAATTCAAGATGAAGGGCAAGGCCAAAGCAAACAAGTCAAGGCGTGTTCGCCAGCCACGGAGAAGGGACGACGACCAGGTTGGAAGAGAGACATTTGGCAGGGAACAGGGTGGATCAGAGGTCAGAGCTAGCCTGGGAGTGACTTCCTGGAGAGTTTGGAAAGCTAAGACAGCAATGTTTTAATTAGACACCAAGAAGCCAGTCATGGCGGTGAAATAGTGGGCGGGATATGGGTTGGAAGGGAAGTCCAGCCAAACTATCCCAGGCTCCCGGAAGTTCAGAAAGTGAGACGTTAGAGAGGCCATAAACGACATGTCTGACAGACTCACAGAGCGGGGAGAGGAGAAAGGAATGCAGGGGTGGAGGGCTGAGGAAGTCAGAAAGTGCCAGCTGATTCGGGCTCGGGCTAACGGACAGCTTCATTGCAGTGTCCATCTTCAGGCTGCGGTGAGCAGAGAGCAAATACGAAAAATCAGGAGTGAGGTGGGGAGTAGCAGGAACCTCTATAAGAAAAATAGCACAACTGTCCCTATAACATCAGGACAGGGGGTCCCTCAGGCCGCAGTGCAAACTCTGTGGTCCCCCTCCAGCAGACTGTGGGCTCCACAAATGCTCCCTGCTCCCTGGGGAACGTGCAGGGGGAGGCATGGACATCACTAATTGGTCTTCTTTACCATGGGTGGCCTCTAGGGTGCATGAACGTGGGACACACCAGTGGCTGTCCTATCACCCGAGCATGCAATTTCATGACCAAGGGTGGTGGATAAACAGCAAATAATTCCAGTTAGATGCAAAAATAAATGGGGGAGAAAGGGAAAGGAAGCTTTTAAAACTTTCATCGGAACCAAAACGCTTGTGCAAACAATCCTGGGGGCAACGCAACCCAGAGGACCAGGCCAATGCCCTTAGCAGTCGATTCTCCACTCACCAGGAGTCTGTCAAGCTATCGAGCTGAAAAGTGGGGTGAAACACATGAGCAAGTAATAAAACTGCCTCCTTGCTGCGGATAAAACAAGTGAGCAATGGGTGGGAGTGAGATCCTGTGAGCTGGAGAGCCAGCCGCTGAGCTGGGGGGGACAGTGAGCGAGCGGAAGGGAGTAGGAAGCCATATATCAAAATCTAGATGCTTTAGGGTACAGGAAGGGCTGACCTTTTTGCACGTTTATACTATATCAAATACATTTAAAAAACCACTGGGAAGGGCCAGGGGGGAAGAGAGCAAAGATGTTGTTTAAAAAATGTATCACTATAAAAAGTGGTGTTAATCACCAAAGACGGAAGGTTGACAACCCTTCATAACCCTTAAAAAAAAAAGAGGAACAGTAAAGCCATTTCTCATTAATAGTCCACAGCCCGTTAGCTGGAGCCTCACAGCCCATGATAAATAGTAAGTAACACTTAGCAGCAGCCACTTGAAAAGGTTACTTGAGCGTTTACAGCAAAAGCCCTGCCCTAGCTGCCAGTCATGTAACAAAACCGTCATGTTAAAACACTATCCAGATCTTTTAGAGCCATGTCACTTTGTCCTTTGCTGGAATACCTGGAGATATCTTTTGTTGTGCTCTGTTCTTTAGGCACTTAGTCAGAGATGTTTGCTAGCATGATAGCTGTGAACTTATTTTAAAATTCTAAACACCGGCCATGGCCTCTCTAGGAGCGGAGGTGCTTTGTTATTTAGAGAACAAGTGACGGGTAGAATGAAAGAGAAAAGAAGAAGGAAAGAAAGTTAACAGGTGGGAAAGGGTTTGCCATTAAGTAATCATGAAGTCATGGCATGGGGCCGGTTTAGAATAGACCATGTCAGACTATCTGAAATCATTGGAGAGGGGTTGCAGAGACATACGGGATGAAGGACCAGAGCTGTCTAACATTCATTTAGCTTTAAGGGAGAAATGAGTTTTGAATGCTCAGTTTGTAGCACATAGTAGGGCTCAATTCCACTGTCCAGCACTTCCGACAAGGTCAATGGGACCCATCACATGAGGAAAGGCATCCAAATCAGGACCACACTGGAGGAGTGAAATCAATTTATGTCTCAGTTGTGCTCCAGTTCAGAGAAATAGTGAAGCTGGGCACATGCATGTGCATCCAAATTAATATGGGCGATAAGAGGAGGAGATAAAAACATAAAACCCCTTAATGTATGGGTTTGGGGCAAACAAGCTCTCTTGATATTAAATGGGTGGGCAGCTTGGATGAATTCCACACGACTCTAGATAAAAGCGACTTCTCTGTCTGCTTCCCTTAATGTGGCCAGCTTAACTACAAAACATGGGAAAACAAAAGGAGTCCAGTGGTAACTTAAAGCCTAATACTTTTTTTGTGGTGTAAGCTTTCATGAGATACAGCTCGCTTCATCAGATGCAGGGAGGGACAGAAAAAGAAACAGAGTAGGGAGTCAGAGAGGGGAATGGTTCTTCCAAGCAGATTCAATCAGGACGGCTGTGAATACCTAAAGGGGAAAATTACTTCATGTAATGAGAGCACAGGACGGCTGTGAATACCTAAAGGGGAAAATTACTTCTTGTAATGAGAGCACCATTCCCAATGCCTATTCAGACCCATTTTGATGGTGTCAAATTTGCATATTCACTAGAAATGACTCTCTCATTACAATGAGCAATTTTCCACTTTAAGTCTTCTCACCTTCTTATCCATACTGATTGAATTAGCTCTGATGTAGCATTCCCTTCACTGTACCCCTACTCTCTGTTTCTTTTTCTTTCACTTCATGCATCGGACAAAGTGAGCTGCAACTCACAAAAACTTCCACCATAATAAAATTGTTAGTTCTGAAGGTGCCATTGGACTCCTTGTTGTTTCTGCCAAAACAGACTAACATGGCTACCTCTGAAATCTGTCATCATGCACAACATGGGAACAGGACGGTCATTTAATTATCCAGATCAGAATGAATTTACTGCTCAAGATTAAATACCCTTTGTACGGTAACCTATTGTACTTTTTAAAAAAAAGTAGTTATCAGGAAGTTTCAGGCTGAGTGATATTTAGGTTTTAGACTATTTTATGTAATAAGCTATTAGAGATAACCAGGCCTTCCATGTCCTTTTTTTTTCCTCCATGGGAAGAGGAGGGGGTCTGGTTTGCATGAACAATGTTAATAGCCTTCCACCCAATGTTTGCTGTTGTTGAGGGCTTGTAAATTTCTCACCGTCTTGCTGGCCCCCGGCTTGGCTTTAGTAGCTCCTCCTTGCTATCAGCTCCTTTACAGGCAGATATCCCCACTATTCTAATCCACACAAACACAGGATGTTCCTGAGCAGCCTGGTGCTGTTATCCAGCCAGCTTAAAGGAAAAATCAGGGGAAGTTATTAACCAAACTCTCGGGCCGATGTGAAACAATGAAGGGACTAAGTTTAGCCGTGAATGCAGCCAGGACTCTGCTTTCACAAACCTGCGGGTTATTTATCCAAGGTGGGAAATGCTGTCGCGAGAGAACAATGCTCGAATATATGAATGAGACCCCAGCGCAGGGCTCGCACAGGGTGCGGGGAGGGGACAGTACGGGAGCATGGCAGGCCTGACTGCAGGGTCTCTCAAGCAGCAATGAGTCTCCCAGAGCACCGGAGTCACGCGACATGACAGAGGTTTTAGTTGGTGTTTGTCTCATGTGTTTTGCACGGGCCTGGTTTTCACAGACAGTCCCTCTAGGCTCAGGGCTTTTAAGGCCACCTGCATGGAGGGCCCGCTGAGGGGGGCAGGCCCGCCAATGGGGGAAGGAAAGAGGGCAACTCACCTGGGACCCGGTGATTCAAAAGGACCCAGAGTTCCTGGCCGTTGCTGAGTAGTGGCAACTGGAGCCCCGGGACCCTTTGATTTGCCACCAGAGAGCAGGAGTGCTGCTTGTGTGGCTGGGAGGGCTGGGGGGGGAAGGGGTGCTGGGGTTTGGGCGGTGCTATGAGCTGATTGCCCTTGGCTCCACCCCTTCCGCCCAGGCCCCGCCCTGTCCATGGGCTCAGAACCACCTCCCCCTCACCTTGCCCCGGGGCCCATGGTGGCTGTCAGCCCTGTTGACTTGGGGGCTTGGCACCTCTTCTTCTCCATCCCCTTGGAGATATCTGATACCTTAATGTGGCCCAGATGGAACCGTTTCTGAGCTTCTGGGAGCACAGAGACCCCACCTGGGCCCAACTGCAGTTCAGGGGCTCCAGTGAGGAGGGGCCCTTTCTTGTTCTCAGTCGCAAATACGTTTTCAAACCAACATTTATCGGGAAGGCCTGATTCTCCACTGCCCCGCCCCTCGTGCAATTGTTACGGTGGCGCAAACTAACCACGCGCAGGGAAATGCGCCTCTTCTGCTTGGGTAGCGTCTTACCCCCCTGCTTTGCTTTAGCTTAAATTACTGTCCCCGGTGCAGGAACATGAAGAGTTAAAGCTGCCTTTTGGACGAGAGGACAGCAAGAGGTTAGCCCTTTCTCACTGGGACCCCGACAAGGCGAATTTCCTGAGCACAAAAGGACAAGGAAGGCCATGGTTCCATCAGGCTGAAATTGGGGCTGGAATTCCTTTGGTGTAAAAACGTGTGTTGGGAAATAATGCGGCCGTCAGGGCTGTGATACCTCCCGCTCTCAGGCCTTGGCCTCCTCTCAGCCCTGCATTGTGTCGTGTTTCCCCTGGTTTTACCTGCGGGTGAAAAAGCAGCGGGGAAGGTCGCAAGTACTTCTCCTTTAGGGCACCCACTGGGTCTGTCACCTTCCGCTTCTCCACCCTGCTGGACAACAACACAGAGGGTTACATACCCCACCGGGCTGGAACTGGGGAAGACAACTCAGTCATTTGCCGAGCAATACATATAAAGACGACACACCGCGCCTCTCCTTGGTGTGGGAATCGCTACCGGGTCTCAGAAAGCGCACCGATGTGAGGCGGAGGCCATGTTTCCTCTTTCAAACGATGCTTTACAGCCCACGCAGAGAATGCTTTGGTGCTGGCAATTCCTCTTTCAAACGATGCTTTACAGCCCACGCCGCGAATGCTTTGGTGTTGGCAGCGAACCAAAGGGTGAGCTGGGCTATGTAGGGGTGTCCCGGCACTGTTGCTGCTCTACAAGGGTGTATCGGGGTGGCGGACTGTTCTGACTGACACCCAGCCATGCTGCAGTAGCTAAGTGCAAGGAGGAGATGCCATAGGGTCTGCGGCAGCCAGAGCAAAGAAAGACCTTTGTCCCCATGTGTCTTCATCATATAGTTAATGCTGGACCTGAGGTTGTGCCCCGCCACGTATGCTAAAATCCAGCTAAAATCATTAAGGGTTGTGGATTTATTTCCTTGGACATTCTTTGCTTTGGCTTTGTTTGTTAAAGGCCTGCAGCTGATAGTTTAAGCCAAAGTTGCAGCTTGTATTTGTGAAACTAAGGGTTTATCTACACAAGGAAGGTAGCGTGCAGGCACTGAGGGTGTGAATTTAAAGAGATGATCTACTCTGTAAGGACACTCTTAATAGTCACTGAAGCTTGGTCTACACTAGACCAGGCAAGTCAGCTTATGGTACGCCATCCAGTTACACAAAACATGTGGTCAGATTCAGTTTACCATAAGCCGATCCACCATGGCCAACGGGAGCACACGCTCCTGTTGGCTTCCCTTACTCCCATACTCGCAGAATGTGGAGTACAGGATACAGGCAGGGGCTGCGCTCAGCCTTCGATTTGGGGGGTCTACACTAGACCCACTAAATCGAATGCTTGAAGATTGACCTCCAGAGGGTCGACCTTCTCCGCACTATAGATGGATCCTTAGTGCACAGGAGAGAATCCACATGTGGCGTTAATTCAGAGTCGCTTATGCCCACTCACAATAGCTATTGTGGGTTTCTTCCCATGCCAGCAAGCTCTAAATCTACATTTAGGCTCCTAAGAGTTGGGTTTTTCAAAACACCTAAGTGACTTAGTAGCCCAACCCCCTACGAAGTCACGGAAGCGCTTTTGAAAAATCTCAGGTTTACGGGACATAAATATGGATTTAGGAGTCTAACTTTTGGCTCCTATTTTTAAAATCATTGGTGCTAATGTCACAGCATCATCGATTTGCAGTGAAACTGAGTGGTGAAGTCCTCCAGCCAAAATGTGAATGGGAAACTGCATGGTTTGCTGGGGAAGTAGTGTTATGGAAAATAACTCACAGGAATGCAGCTGCATCCTTCAAACCGTGGACTAGGTTCTGTCTCCAGTACACCAGTGAAAATCTAGAGTTACCATAGTGGCCTTAACTACATTTCTCCAGGGTAAATGAAAACAGACTCTCGTGTTGAGGCTTAGCAGCTTGATACAGTGTTTAAATGGCCAAAAAAGTGACGAAGTGATCGCCCCGTTCTATTTAGAGCATTACTGGAATTTGAAGCTAGCCTTTCTCATGGAAAAGAGAAACGAGGATCCAAAACATAGCCCCAATGATTATTATTTATTTTTAGTGGTTTGTGCCTAAAAATCAGGAATGGAGTCGTTTTTGCTGAAAAAAGGACAAACAGTAGAACTAAACTCCAACCGGATCCAGTGTAAAATGGCCGATACATTAACTGGGGAAGTCCATTCTCGAGCTGCCTAGAAAGTTTCCCATGAAACAACCCAACCTGCATCAAAAAATGAACAATAAAATTCACGGGAGCCTTTGGGCGAAGCAACGTCACCGCACTCTGCTCAGCTCTGGCATCTTCCGAGGTCAAGGCCTAAGCACGGTAAAGGGCTGATCTCCCGTCCGAGCCAAATTCCACAGGGACTAAAGGATTAAGCGGAGCTTTTCAGCCCAGTGCCTGAGAAGATTACCTTAATGAGGCGGAGTTGAAAATTGCCCTGATTTCAGGCTGTCTGGCTGCATTAAATTATATCGCCAAGAGCAAATGTCAAGGGTGTAAGCTGCATTTGGGGGGCAGAGGGGAGAAGAGGAGCCAAATGATATGAGGAAGGGTGATAAAGAGATGTTTAGAAACAAAATATTTTCATATTTTTTCAAGCTAGGACTTGCAAGTTTTGCGAGTTAGCTCATTACATCTGAAGTCTGGTTTGCAAGCGACTCCACTGCCGACTTTCTATTTCCATATCTTACTAAAACTATTTGCATCCTATGGAATGCAGCAACGGACACCCTCATCCTTCACTTACATCTCTTTTCTAGTCCTCCGTGCTTTTTCCGCGCCTGCTATTTTAGCTGGCAAGTGCTTTCCGTTCAACCTCTGTTGTTTTAGCATTCCTTCTGAGACTACCCAGAGGTGGTCTGGTGGAACCCTGTGCTGATTCTCTGCTCCCACCCGATCCCCTTTATTTATTGTCCAGACGTAGTAGTACAAAAAACAAATGCTGGACTATTGACATCATCACTTCGCTGGAGTAGGCTGATCGTAAGCGGTGGCAGAGAGAACATAGGAGAGGTGCCATGTCACAAAGCAGCCTTCTTTCCAGATGGCGAGCATGTCAGTAAGCAATGCGGTATCAGCCTGGAAAGTGCTGGCGAGGAGACTGGGGCTTTCTTCATAGCAAAGCTATAATGGCTCACTAATCCTTGTCTTAACTGACAGCTCTTGGGCCTAGTTGGATGTTGACATCATGTTTTCCCACACTTATCAGCCATGCAATAGGAGCAAGGCAGTGCACAGCAGGTGCTGTTTTCATGGGATACCCTTCCACAGGTTGAACCTCTCTAGTCTGGCACTCTTTGGTCCGGCATGCTTTTAGTTAGCCAGATGTCCACTTAGCACGGGTGTGGCCAAGTTTCCTGCAGTCCCATAAAGTTTTTTTTACAGCCCTAACTCCTGCCTGTCAGTGTTCCATGCTGTTCTTTAGCTCTAATTTACCCCTTAATGTCGTCTAAGAGCCCAGTGATCAATGGAAGTGTTGGTAATGCTGCTAGACAATATTAACCTGCCGTGGATCGGCAAATTCTCTGGTTCGGTGCTAGTTAGGTCCCAAGGATGCCGGATTAGAGAGGTTCAACCTGTATTAGTATCTGCCACTGGGTAAGGATTGTGGTACCATGGCATCTTTTAACAGCAGGGATATTGCTGACACAAGGGTGGGAACGCAATGTGTCAATTATTTGTAGTGGGGGTCCCAACATGTTTTGTGTTTGAGAAAAACTTGTAAAAGGTTTTAAAGTGACAGAGGAGTCAAGCCTTTCCTGTGAGTATGAATCCATGCTCACTCTTTCTGGAGACTCATAAACTAGGTGAAATATTTTTTTCTGCTAAGTGTTCCCTGGGTTTAGAGATTTTTCAGCAAAAAAAGCAATCTAGACTGGGTTCTTTTGAAAAAAAGCCCCTTTTTTGAAAGAACCCTTACTCCTGAAAAAATGAGGTTTACAGGGTTCTTCAAAATAGGATTTTTTTCAAAAGAATCCCGTCTTGACTGCTTTTTTTGGGGGGGGGGGAGGGAAATCTCTTCAGAAAAAGCGATTGGAAGAGATTATGCAAATGAAGCACAAGATTTGTAAATCATTTCCCTCATTTGTATTCCTCTTTCAAAAGAGGAAATGAAGTCTGGATGCACGCTAAGCGTGTGGGTTACACCTGAACAATAGAGGAAAAGTACCATCAAATGGACCTGGCTTGTAATGAACTTCCATTCGCTTTTTCCACCTCCCACCCCCACGTCATGATGTGCCTTGAGTCACAGCCTCTCCCCCCGCTTTGAAACCAGCCTGTAGGAAGAAATGGTTAAGGAAGGGTATGTTAATACCTGTATATGGGGTCCATGAAAAAGGGGGATGGCTTCGCATAATGCAAGGACGGCTGCTGCGGCAGCTGAGCCTGCGACATCTTGGGTAGTACGTCGCTGGCCATGAGCTTCCGTTCCCCATATATGTGGTTCTTCCGGGGCTCCCGCCCTCCATTCTGGCTGGCTCGGATGCGGTTGCCGATGCTTAGATCCAGTGGCTGCTCCTCCCCAGAAGACGGGGCTGGCAAGACCTTGGGGGGTGGCAAGATTGGCTTCATCTCTTTGGGTTTGGTGGTGAGATCGAAGGGCGACTCTGCGCTGGTGCTCCCCACTTTGTGAAGGTCCCGAGGTGACTTTGGTTCTGCCTTGACCAGCAAGTTGTGATTGAGGGTCCGGTCCGCGAAAGGATACAGGGAATGGGGGAAATTGGGGAGGAACTGAAAGGGGAACATGGAGTGGTATGGGAGGGAGCCGATCTTCTTCTCCTGCATCCCCATAAAGCCGGGGCCGAAATATTTCTCGGCAATAGAGGCGATCGCTTTTATCGAGTCATTGGCTGCCCCTGTCGTGGGGAGGAGCTGCTGCCCCGGGGGGGGG